AATGTAACTTCAATGTGATCGTAAGTCATCAAGATGCTGTATAAAAACAGAAGACAAAACACCTGGATTAATTTCTTAGTAATCATTTATATATAGATACCTACTATAGGGTTTTGAATGTCTCTTATTATCACACTGCAAGATTCTCAGTGTGCTCCACATACAAGACACCCACACTGTGAAGCCATATAGTGAGTGCATTTTGGGACAGCAGCAACCTGATGAGTTGAAAAAAACTGAATGGAAGTCATCACAAAAACAGAAGATTCTATCAAGCGATATAGCAATACCAAAGCCAGTGTTTTTTGTGTGTCTAGAACAAGCCAGCCTGCAATGGCATAGCATGAGGTCCTCATTCAGTATAAGAACAAAGGTCTCATCCAGAAGTTGTTGCAGCTCTGTAAAGGAATTCCACATGCCACATTTTGGAGACTATTTACTATTCAAAGGCATTGAATTACTATAATATAAACACATGACTCTTCTGAGCTCCCATTAGGCCTCTGTTCACATGGCTGACAGGAACTACTGTCATTATATGGTTTCAAAGACCTCAGCACTAGGAAGAACTCCCTGGACCTTTATTTATTAGATTTTTATTCCACTTTTCTCACAAAAAGAGAGAGAGGGAGAGGGAGAGGGACTCTTAATGAGGCTCACAAGCAGACTGAACAAAAATATAATTAAAATTCAAAGAGTTTAAATATTAAAACACATCAGTAAAAATACAGCACCTACTCAGTAAAAAGCCTGTTCCTCAGCAACTGGACAGCTGTTAAAAGCATGACCTGAAAGGGTACTATTCAAAGATATAGCCGTGTTAATCTATAGAATCAGTATGTAGAGAGATCTTGTAGCACCTTTGAGACTAACTGAAAGAAACTGGCAGCATGAGCTTTCATAGACTTCAGTCTACTTCCTCAGATTCATTTAGTACTGTATATGCTTTCTGATGGAAACTGTATATGCTTTCTAATGTGAAGACAAGAGGTAGACCCAGCATAATCTACTTTAGTGTAGGGTTCCAAAGTCTTAGAGCAGCCACCCAAAAAGCCCTCTTACATGTCTGAAACCAAATGTACTTGTGAAAGTGGCAGGACCAAAATAAAGTTCTCCTCTGAAGTTTTCAAAGCCTCTTCAACCTCATACAGGAGAATCAGACAGCCTGTACCCATTTCATATAGGGCTTTAAAGATTATTATGAGGAGTATGAATTGTGTCCAGAAACAGACCTTCTAACAGGGTCTTTATGCAGGTGCTTTTTCAGCATCTGCTCTTGCAAACATGCTCAAATTACATTGATCTTTTATGCTTTGCCACCCTTATATCCAGTACATTTACAGTCTGCAACAAACTCTGTCAGTTGTTTCTAAATAAACAAAGAAATTTAAGAAATGTGTAACATATTTGTATGTATGTGCTGGCATCTCCAGGGTACAGTATCTTTTACTGTACTACCTGTTTTGAGGCAGGTAGCTGCTTCCCCACAGCACTTTGCTACAAGCTAGAGAGGAGCAGAAGGTGAGGGGACAGGAACATACGGATAAAGAGAGCATGAGGTGGTGCTGGTGGTGAGATAATCCCAGAAAATTTGGAATATTTCATGGCAGTAAGATAGTATATTTATTTAACTTGCAGTTGCAATTCCTTTTTTCTGCACTTTATCAATTTAAGTTACAGGTTTTCTAAAGCTAGACTCTCTAGTAAAGAAATAATGTGCTGAGCGCTAATTTCAGTAGTGCCCTTAGTCTTCAGTTTTGCACTAGCAAAAGCAATCTTGGGACTTAATTTCTCACAGCATTAATTACATCCACATTTGATGCCTCCAGAAGATCAGCAAAGGCTGTGAAATCTTGTATGGAAAGTGACCTTGAAATGCGAAATCCTATATTCAAATGTAACCAAGAAACTTAGCTACAATCAGGAAACTGGAAGGTAACTGTAATCCTTCTGACATATGCTCACATACTGGCATGTGTCCCCAACTACAACACTATTCCACATATCCTGGTTCTGGCTCCTAGTCATCTTGGATTTACCGTCAGGCTGAAAACATTAGTTATTCTTGGAACATGTTCTTGTTTTTGTTCTGATTTGTTGTTTGCACTGGCCTACATACTTTTGCTTAACTACAACCCTCATTTGCACCTGCTGGTATCCCATGCAACCTTTTCTAAGGGTGAATGTATATGATAACCATCATACGTCTCCATTCTACCTTAGGCTTAATCTTGCATCTACCAACTTGCCAGCTGCCTGGATTTTGAGTGTGGGGGTCCTGGAATTCCAGAGGATTTCCTGTTTTGCATGAAAACAAAAAACAAGCCAAGGCTTGTGGTACTTTAGAGACTAATAAATGTATTCCTCTGCAAGTTTTTGTGGACCAGAGGCTACTTTGTCTGATAACCTTAAATGCAACCCTCTGTTGGAAGGAGGAAAACCATGGAGTACTCAAGGTACAGTGGTTTGAGCGCTGGACTAGACTCTGGAGACCAGGCTCAAATCCCAGCTCAGCCATGGAAACCCACTGGGTAACTTTGGGCAACTTGCCCTTTCTCCGCTTCAGTGGATGGCAAAGGCAAACCCCTTCTAAACAAATCATGTCAAGAAAACCCCGAGATAAGGTTGCCTTAGTGTCACCATAAATCAGAAACAACTGGAAAGCACAGAACAACAGGAACAAATTTAAACAGCAACAAAGTAAAGAAAAACTGTAAAGACAAGCCTGAGACACCATCACTTTGGGCAGAAAGGAGCTGAGAGACAGAATTCTAGCTGGCAAAAATTGCAAACACAAGCTTCATCCTTTATCCAAGAAGGCAGCAACAAAGGTGACATCAAATTCAACCCAAGTACAGCAGACTGGTGTAGTAGTTTGGACACTGGATTTAGTACTCTGGGAGACCAGGGTTCAAATCCCGGCTGGGCATGGAAATCTACTGGGTGACCTTGGGCAAGTGACACTCTCTCAGCTTCAGAGAATGGCAATGGCAAATTCCCTCTGAAGAAACTTGCCAAGAAAACCCATGACAGGTTCACCATCTTAGGGTTACTATAAATCAGAAAGTACTGTACTTCAAGACACTCAACAACAACAAAAAGCAATACAGGATGTGTTATGTTATACCTGATAACATTTATAGTGATAGTTGTATCTGTAATTATAGTGAGGATTGTATTTGTGATGACAGTGTGTGTGAGAGAGAGATGTGATGATAATGATGGCTGTATCTGTGATGATCGTAACAGTAATATATGTGATGATAGGGATAGTTATTATCATCACAGTTACAGCTATCACTATCATCACAAATATACCTATCACTATAACATTATCAAATTTAATGTAACACTAGTCGCCGCATCCTGCTGTTGTTTGTTGTTGTGTGTCTTCAAGTCATTTCTGATTTATGGCGACCTTAAGGTGGTGAACGTATCATGGGGTTTTCTTGGTCAGTTTCTTCAGAGGGGGTTTGCCATGCCCAAGTCGTTGGCATATGTAACAACTTGAAATAACTTGAAGGCACACAACAACAAACAAGAATCACAGATATAACCATCACTATAATCACAGATATAACTCTCATCATCACAAATATAACTATCACTATCACAAGTATAAGGGCCTGAACAGACTGCCAGAAATAATCCAACTTGAGACCACTTTAACTGTCCTGGCTCAGTGCTAGGGAATCATGGGAACTGTAGTTTATTGTGGCACCAGAGCCCTCTGACAGAGATGGCTCAATGCCTCAGAAAAAAACTACAATTCCCATGATTCCCTAGCACTGAGCCAGGGCAGTTTAAGTGGTCTCAAGCTGGATTATTTCTGGCAGTCTGTTCAGGCCCTAACTCTCACTCTCACTGGTATAACTCTCACCATTACAGATCTATCACTATCACAGATACAACTATCACTACCATTATCACAGATATAACTCTCACTGGCACTAATATAGCTATCACTATGACTATCAGAGATATAACTATCAGTATCACGTTATCAGGTACAAGGTAACACTAGCCGCCGCATCCTGTTGTTGTTGTTGTTGCTGCTGTTGTTGTTTTGTGCCTTCCTATTTATGGCGACCCTAAGATGGCGCACCTATCACGGGGTTTTCTTGGCCAGTTCCTTCAGAGGGCTTTTGCCACGGCCATCCTCTGAAAAGGCTGAGAGAGTGTGACTCGCCCAGGGCCAACCAGCTCTGCCTGCCTGTCCTACTGACGCAGGTCGAGAAGCGAGGCGAGGGTCCCTAGGAAAGAACGGCCGCCCGGCTCCAGGAGCGAGGATACCTTTCGCTGTTGTTGACGATGACGCCTCCGCCCTCCGAGTGGTTCCTGTTCAGCGCCATGGC